ACATTTTCAAAATGCTCACGTCCTTTTTTAAAATGCAACGCGTTTAAGGCTTGTCCTAAGTCAATGTTTTCTGAATTCGATCAAATTTTTAGAAAAGGTTATATTGACTTGAAGATAACGAATCGTAAAAAGAGGGTTCGTCACGATTTCTTCTCTTCAGTTGTCTTCGCGTGGGAAGAAATAATAATAACTCGTGTATGAACGAGGCTGGATTGTTGAGAAAAATCTGGTTGAGAAGTGATGAGCCGTCTGGACGATGCCAGGCAGCACTGAATCCAAGAAAAGGCGGCAGTAAAGCCAAAGTGGTCTAACAGGAGTGCACCAGCCGGCCACACCACACAGGACAAGAATTCAGAGTTGACACGGGGGAAAATACAAGGCCTCGGAAACACCGACAACAGCCAGCCAATGAATATCAAGACAGATTCAACAAGCACCGAGAATAGCCTGAGCTGAGCTCCCAAAGAAGGACATGTTCACAAACTCCATCAGATGATATATATTAAGCCTAGGACGGTGACATTAATCATAAGAGTCTCACAGGTGAATGACTTATACACCGGGACGGAGGTAGTACCATTTTGGCTTGGCTTGGCTCGGCTCGGCTGGCGACCACCACTTATAGCCTCAGTGTGGTGTCTGCCGGCGGCCCTCTAGAGGTGGTGCCGGAGGCGGAGGCGGCCGACTGCTTCGCCTTCTCCGACAGGAACTTGCTGCAGTCCGCTCCCTTCACCGTGAACTCCATCAGCAGCTCCTCAAACAGCCTCTTGAGCGAGGTCTTGAACCTGAGCGAGCAGCTCTTGTCACCCTCGTCCACGTCCTGCACCCCGTTCCCGGCAAGGCACCCAACCTGGGCGCCGTCCAGGTAGGCCTTGCAGGCCACCAGGACGTTGCGCCCGTGCTTGCGGAAATGGCCAGCCACGAAATCCTCAAAATGCTGCACAAAAGATGTAGTCCACATTAGATTCGAGGCAGTATATGAACAAATACACAAAAGAGGTTTCAGCATAACAGGTTTTCATAAATAAGATAGCAGAGTTGCAGGATTCAAGCTAGTATATGAACATGACAGCAGCTTCAACATAAAAGGTATTGATAAACAAGATGGTTGTCAACAGATCTATCGCAATCCATGCTGGTTATCAACTAGACAGGGTTGCATTGGTACCCAAAAAGCAGTATTATTATGAAATAAGTAACTGCGTTTGCAGTAACTATGATAAGCAGAGGTACATCCATACCTTTGGCGGATTTCGGAGAGAATACAACATCGTCCTGCAGGACAGCAGGAATGTGTCTTCGTTATAAGTTAGGGATCTCTTCTCCCCGGCAGGTGTGTTAGCTGAATTAGCATACCCAGGCTCATTGAAATAAGGTTTGGCATTCAAAACCAGAGCCTGAATGGAGACAAGAACCTGCAGCATGGTTGAATTGGATGGATTCCATTTCTCACATCCACTACCAGCCCAGGTGTTTAACAGGCTAAGGCACACCTTCCCACAAGCATACAGGTTTGGATTAAGCCGCAGCCCACCAGAGCGGTAGTTAACAAGCTGTAAAGAATTAACTCATTACTATCAAATGTGACTAAGGGCAAACTATAATAAAAGAAAGACAGTCATTAATGGAGATAAAGTCCATAAAATCTTACTGGAGGTGTGTTTGGATATTGAGGAGTGAAGTAAATGTCGAAGAAAAAGAGCCCGTCATGGTAAGGAGTGCCTGCTGGACCCATAATGACAGCTCTAAGAAGGTCCATTCTATCCTCGTATGCCCTCACGAATATGGTATCTATTAAATTGGAAGAAAAGCAAAAACATAATCATAAGATGCCCTTTGCAGTGTATCCCGGCAAAAAAGGGCATCTCATCACAAGGAGATATTTGAACTAATGACAGCAAGATACTGATTGGGACAATTAGTACCAAGAGGAAGTTTATTATAGAAAAAAGGTCATGAGAAGCAAGAGCTGACTACCTGGCAAGTCTTTCTCTAAGACTTTCCACTCATGCTGAATGCGCTTCGCCCAGTCTTTTGATGGCTGTCAATAGGACAAGTTAGTACCAATATAAGATGGCAAAGGATGAACAGGGCATGTCATAACCATTACCTTCTTCACTACCAGAGCTTTCCTTAACTCTGGTTTCACATAATAATGATCATTATGGCCATCAACAGTATCAAATTGCTTAAATGTGCTGTATCTTTCATCAACTTTCTCGTCCAAGATTGGGATGGGTTTGGAATTACTCGACATCTCAGCGGCAGTCTTCTGCAGCCATGGTAAAGGAGCCTCCACTCCAGGCGGGATATCCAAGCCATCAAACTGAGCAGATAAATTATAGTTATATTCATTCTCATAAAGTGTATCATCAAACTCATAGTTTTCGTAGTCCTCTTCCTCATAAGCAAAGTCTTCATCTTCCTCGAATGCGTCAAAAGGGTAGTCATCATAATCATGGTAAACTGCGGTTTCCATATATTTTTTAGCAAAAGCATCCTTAATGACAGTACTGCTTGAAAAATAGGTGTTTGGTCCAGAGGTAACTTTTTTGAAATCACCCATAATGGTAGTACTGTTTGAAGCATAGGTGCTTGGTCCGGCGCTAACTTTCTTAAAACCACCCATAATGGAAGTACTGTTTGAAGCATAGGTGCTTGGTCCGGCAGTTTCACCAGCCACACTAGTCTGAAATTGTTCACAGAGAAAGCATCAATCAGAGAGGAGTAGGCAAACAAATAATATGGAAAGAGAAAGACATGAGAGGGTTTACCTTCACATGCTTTGGCCAAACAAGAGGACATCCAACTGAATGTTTATTCTTTTCAACTGGTGCTTTCTCACCAATAATCACAACACCATCAGGATCATCATCAATTTCAATTATTTCACGAGGAACAACCTGTTAATTCCCATTGCAGAAAAACAGTATTAATCCCATGTAGGCAAATTTTAAACACACCATTATATATAAAAAAATGAGACCAACCCAAGGGCTAACCCTCGTTGGCAATTTTTATAGGAGAAACTCCGTGAGAACCGCGCGTCCGAGCCAGGACTCAAACTCGGGTTGGCTGGCAGCAACCCCAGCTGCCCAGCCAACGGGTCGACGCCCCGCCCCCAATAGCATTTTGTCTCATTTTATAACCCAGTAGGATTTTGTTGGAAAATTGTTATATGGAAAGTCACGAACGTAGTCGATCCTATATATGGAAACAATGGGCTAGCTAGGTTTATATAATACACATAATGAATACAGAAGAAGAACAATGGCAGATGTCATGCAACTATGAACCAGCCAGAATGGTTTATGCAATTATAGTTAAGAATGTTGGAAAAAACGCTAGGCATAAGCGAGGCGGTTGGCCTTCGCCTAGTGCCTAGGTGGCGCCTAAGCACCCTAGGCATATAAACATTAATTTAGAGCATGAAAATGAGTAAAATACCAACTACCCTCCATTTAAAAATGACATATGGGCCCATTTGGCCAGTCACTGTGACATGGAATGAATTCTCACTCGTATGGAGAACTTTTTGCTTGCCCCACCTAGACTTGTGCTTATGCCCTATGCAAGGTGTTTGGCCATTGCCTGGCGCCTAAGCACAACCCAAGTGTCTTTCCAACAGAGATAAGATTATGTCATCAATAACACCATTTCATGCAACATAGTAGAAACACATAAGGTGCTCACAAGCTGTAAGGTTACCAAGTCAAATGCACTGAAAGAGTAGTATGTCAAAGCAATAGCATTTCATTAGAATTACAACGATATGATTGTATGAGTGTGACAGAGCAAGGTCATAGTGGTATTATTTAGTGTCAAGACCAATGGAACAGGATACAAAGGTCAACAACAGAAGATGTGCAAAGTGCGAACATGATCCAAATAACTAATAACTATTTACATAAAGAGAGATCGAAGGGAGACAATCCTGTAGCTGGGAAGTGCACCTCAGGTATGCACAAAGAGATCAGAGAATTTAAGAAGCGCATGGGATAATTAACAATGAACGATATGCCAGTCTATGACACCCTACATTTCATTTGAACACGAGTTCCTGACATACCATCAGAGAACCAACTCAATCCCCACCTGAACTGCTCGACAACCATAACTAAAGAGATCAAAACAGAGCGCAATTCTAGAGTCACCCCAGGGGTCCTGCCTGGTGTATCAGCTAAACAAGACAATCAACCGCGAAAAATTACCAGTTTCACCAGTCAATTAACCGCAATTCCCCATTCAGGCGGCAAATGGGACCTTGCTAGCACATGACCCAACACACAAACATTAAAAAGACCTACTCCAGGATATTATCAAAACACAAACAAGATAAAAGACCAACACGCACCATCTATTTCAGAACACAACAACATACCATCGGCACGCAGATCAGATGCGCAGCCTGGGATCCGAACCGTAATTCAGCACCTAAACAGCCGAAATTCAGGATCGTCTAACCAACCAACCCTCCCCCTCCCACGAATTACGTTACCTACGGCGGCTACCGGCCCCTGATTCCAACGACTAACTACAGCTAGTGCGATGATGTTATACCTGGCTCCGCTTCCTCTTCTGGTGGCCGGGGTTCCACCCCCCGGCGGCGGCGGCGGCGGCCGGCGACACCTCGACCACGTCGGGGTCGTCGAACGAGGAGCTCCCCGCGCACAGATAACTCCTCCTGCGGACCAAACCCGAAATCAGCCTTAGCCGGGACGAGACGAGGCGGCAGGGGAGGGGGGCGCACCGATCAGATCGGCGGCGGGGCGCGGGGAGGGGGAGGGGGGGACTCACTTGGAGGGGTGGGTCGCCATCGGCGTCGCGGCCAATGCGATCGCCTGCCG